TTCCACATTTCAACCAACCTAATTCTGGTTCACTGTCTTTGTTGTTGTTTATCCTCACCAAGAATATTTTCCATTGATTTTTTTTTTTAAATAGAGTGGAAGGGAGGGAGGGAGGGAGGGAGAGAGAAACATTGATGTGAGAAAGACACATGGATTGGTTGCCTCCTGCACGACCCCGACCAGGGCCAGGTATGTACCCTTGGCTGGAAATCAAAACCATGACCCTTTGGTCCATGGGCCCACACTCAACTGCTGAGCCAAGCTGGCCAAGGCTCTCTGCTTCATTCTTTAAGACTCGGCAACTTGCCCTGGCCAGTTTGGCTCAGCGGTTAGAGCGTCGGCCTGCGGTCCAGAGAGACCCGGGTTCGGTTCCCGCTAAGGGCATGTACCTCGGTTGCAGTTTGTCCCCGGCCCTGGTTGGGTCGTGCAGGTGGCAACCTCTCGATGTGTCCCTTTCACGTCGATGTTTCTCTCTCTCTCTCTCTCTCTCTCTCTCTCTCTCTCCCTCCCACTCTATCTGAAAAAAATAGAAAAATGCCCTCGGGTGAGGATAAAAAAAAAAGACTCGGCAACTTGAGAGCAGAAACTCTTATCATCTCTGCGCCTCACCACCTAGCAACTCCCCCGCAGAGGAGGTGTTCAACATATGTTTACCGAGTGAAATGTTTACTGTGTGCCTGGTACTCCGGTGGCATGTTTGTTCCACAAGGAACAGCTGGTCCCAGCTCAGTCACTCCCCCCCTCCGACTGGCTGCCTTTGCTGCCCACCCACCTCCGTTTCCGTCCATGCCACGGCTGGAGAAGCAAAGTCTGCAATCCGTACCATCTCATGCCTACTTGCCCCGTCACCTCGGAGGAGTCAGTGACTGCCTCCGAGTCTCTGTCTGCATGAAGGCTTAATGAAAAGGAAAGGGTAAGATTAATTACTTAAATTAATATGTATTGAACCAGACACTGTGCTCGACACTTAAATAAATTAGCTCGAGTGATAGGCACAGTATCCCGGTGAGACAGATTTGATACTTTTTCTACAGAAGAGACCACTGCAACCCAGAGGAGCTGAGCAGGGAATCTGGCCAAACTTGCGAAGCCGGAAGTGGACGTGAGGTAGGTGGTCTTATCACAGGCGACTTTAGAGAGGAAATGAGGCACCCGGTCCTGGCCGAGGGAATGACAGATTTTTCATTCTTATGGCCTTTCCCAGCCTCGGGTCCCAAGGTCAGAGGCTCTGCCTTGTCCCACTGGTGGGACCAGCGTCTGGTGAACCCTGTACCTGCCGTCTAGGCTCAGGTCCCCAGGGCTTCTCCCTGTCTGTCCTGCAGATGATGACAACGCTCTCCTGCATTTCTTCTGCACCTTTACTGTGCTTTTCTTTCCCTTTATTGATTTTAGAGAGAGAGGAAGGGAGAGGGAGCGAGAGAGAGAAACATCGATGAGAGAGAACATTGACTGGCCGCCTCCTGCGTGCCCCCCACTGGGGATCGGGCCCACGACCTGGGCATGTGCCCCGACCAGGAATTGAAATGGCGACCTCTTGGTGCAGGGTCGACGCTCAGCCACTGAGCCACGCGGCCGGGCAACGCACCTTTATTTTAAAGCGTTTTTACACCCTTCATGTCTTGCCGGAGGAATGGGAAGGAATGGGGCGTCCCATTTTAGGGGACGAAATGGAAGTTCAAAGTGACTTACCTAAAACCCGATGGTATCACCCATCAGACTCTAGTTCCTGGTAGAGGCTGACATGTCCATGGAGCCCAGGGGACACATGTTTCTGATTCTCTGGGAAGCGGCAGACTGGCATTCGGACAGAACACCAGCAGGGTTTCCGACAGGCTCGGTTCTCGTCGGAGGTCCCCTGGTCAAACCACCAAGTGAGAGGAGGAGGAAGCAGTGTGGTTCCGAGAGGCTGGGACTGTCCCGGGACCTAACGCCCAGGCCAGGCAGTCCAGGGGGACCGGGAGCTCCCTGCGGGCAGGGATGGACCGCACCTGTGCATCCCTGGTGTTCCAGGGTCATATCTGACCCTCCATGCACATCTGTCCACTTGAATGTGGGATTTAGAAGGAAGGAGGCAGGGGAGGGAACTTGAGAGAGTTTAGAATTGAGAACCTGGGGGAGACAGCCTGGCGAGAGTGAGCCCGGAGGGAGAGGGGGACACCAGGCATGTGCGCTTCTGGTTCCCCTGCTCCAGGCCCGAGGACACCCCCAGAGGGAGGGGTGCGGGCTGTGTGACTTCAGCAGTCACTGAAATCTGCTAAAAGAGTTATCCCCTTGCTCCTGCGCTTGGCCTCCCCTCCTCTCAGCTCCCAAACCCTCCTCAGCTGCTGTGATGGGATAATTAGATGCGAGAGCTCAGCACAGATGATGCTCCAGTTGCTTAGCAACTAATGGTTTCCATGGAGACCGCAAAGCACAGCCTCCAGAGCAACCAGTGAGCAGCTTGGCAGGGCAGGGAGAAGACGCAACTCTCAGCTCCTCCAGAAACCTGGGGAGGGCCGGGAGGGGGGCGCTGGGAGGAGAAGGGAGGGTTTAAAGCCACAGGGCCCCCTTATCCCTTTAAAATCTGGCCCGAGCTCTGTCCTTCCCTACCCCATGCTGTCCCTCTCATAATTTCAGACGGGGAAGGGGCTTAGGAGTGGACCCTGCAATGAACACAGCCTCTTCTGCCTCGTGGTTTGTGCCTGACGTGGAAAGAGACACCTCCCGAGCCTCCGTGGAAACATCTTCCTGGTGCAGGGACACCCTCCCGGATTGAAGATCCCCGTACCCCTGGAGCTCCCCCTTCAGCCTGTCTCCTCCCTCCCAAGTTCTAGTCCATGTACAAAAGATCCCCTTTCCGCGTGCACAGTAGAACCCGATCTAACGAGGACAAAAGCCAAGGTGCAAGGCAAACAGACTGCATTCCCCAAAGGCAGCCTGTCCTGGGAGCTGGGGAAAACCCTCGCCGTCCCCAGTGAGGAGGGTCCCGGGTGTGCCCCTGGCAGCTGGCAGCGCGGCCGCTCAGTCCAGCACCAGCCAGGGTCCCCTGGACGCCCAGGAAACGCCACGCCGCAGGCTTCGCCTCAGACCCACGGAATCAGAAACTGCCGGCTGGTCCCTCTGCCCGTCAAATGCAGACGCTCCGGTCTAAGGCCTCCAGCCTCTGCTTGGGCCCAGTTCCAGCTTGTGCCCCAGGCTTTGCGCCGACCCTTACCCCATGGGAAGAACACAACCGCACCCGTCCCCCACTTTCCTACCAGGCCCCCGTACCTTCTCGGGGGACTGGGGGAGAGAGTGGCTCATGGAGAAAAACGTACCTGAAACCGTGACTCAGTGGTTGAAGTGTCTCCTGCACCAACACATTGTGGGTTTGATACCCAGTCAGGGTGCACGTGGGAGGCAACCAATCGATGTTTTTCTCTCTTTTCACTGTTTTTCTCTCTCTCTCTTTCTCTCCTTTGCCCTTCCTCTCTCTCTAAAATAGTAAATACAGCCTGGCCGGTGTGGCTCAGTGGATTGAGCATCGTCCCATGGACTGAGAGGCCCCAGTTCGATTCCTGTCAGGGCACATGCCAGGCTGGGGGCTTGATCCCCAGTAGGGGGTGTGCAGGAGGCAGCCAGTCGATGTGCTCTCTCACATCGGTGTTTCTATCTCCCTCTCCCTTCCTCTCTCTAAAAAATCAATGAAAACATATTTAAAAGAAAAAACAAAAACAAAAACAGCCCTGGCCGGTTTGGTTCAGAGGTTAGAGCGTCGGCCTGTAGTCCAGAGAGACCCGGGTTCAGTTCCTGCTAGGGGCATGTACCTTGGTTGCAGTTTGTCCCCGGCCCTGGTTGGAGTCATGCGGGAGGCGGCCACTCGATGTGTCCCTTTCACATCGATGTTTCTCTCTCTCACTCTTCCTCTCTCTCCCTCCCACTCTATCTGAACAAAAATGGAAAAATGTCCTCGGTTGAGGATTAAAAAAAAAAGACAAACCAAATTAAAAAAAAAAAAAAACATATCCTTTGGTGAGGATTAAACTGTTTAAAAGATACACAGCAGGAACACTCTGGGAGCTCTCGCACTTTTGCGGATGGCTCTGACCTCTCCTGACCAAGCGTCCACTTTCACAAGTGACCGACCTCTCTGAGCCCCAGTGTCCACCTCCACAAAGGGGAGCGAATCACCCACCGCCCAGGACAGTTGTAAGGGCGGATGCCGCAGCGCCCAAGCCAGCCTGTCCTTCCTCCTCCGTCCTCCTCCCTTCGCTCACAGTTCGGTCTCCGCTGCGGCCTAACTCAGCACGGGGCGGGGGTCAGAGAGGTTGTCTGTGTCATTTTCTCCCCCCCCCCCGCCCCCCGTCTCTTTTCCGTTTATCCTCACACAGTTCGACGAGGGTTGCTGACCACGGCTGATGGTCCACCCCCACCCGCCAGACGGGGTCAGTGCCCACCTCTCTGGTCTCCCCAGAAGTGTGCCCGGCACCCTCTGCCCCACTGCCCAGAGGAACCTACGCCCTTTATACTCCTGGCACGACACCCCTCTGCCCCTCCCGCAGCGCAGACCTGGGCCCCAGTGGACACCAAGAATTAGACCCTCGGCTCTGCTGCCCCCGCGGTCTCGGCTCCCCTCCTGTTCCGGCCCAGACCCGGCCCTTGCGGGAGCCCTCGGGGCATCATTCTGCCTGTACCCAGGGCGACCTCAGAGCTGGCTGCCCTCCTGGGAAGCCCCCACCCCCGGGAGCTGCCTCTACAGGTCGGCTCCAGACAGACACTGGTGCCCTCACACAGGTGAGCCCCAGGAGAAGGGCTGATTCCCACCCCCACCTTAGTGACAGTGCCCGCTGCAGATGATTAAGCCACCAAGATCGCGACTCAGGCCTGAGGGCCAGCTCCCCAGCCTGAAAAACCTGTCTGGGCCCCGCCTCAGTCTGTAGAGACCAAGGGGCAGGTTGGACAAGATTCCACGCCAGCTGCTCCCACCCCCAGGACAAAACCAATCCCCCAGGGGCAGGGCCTCACTGGCCCGAGGCGCCTGTCAGCACCCCTGCGGCTCCCAGCCAGCGATGGCACCCCTGCTACCCAGCCGGAGTGTGCCCTCCATCCTGGTTCTGCTGGCTGTCCTGGCCCCGGGCGCTGCAGGTCTCTGCCATTTCCCGGAGGGGCCTGGGGCCTGGGCAGGAGGAGCGGTGCCCCCTGTGCCTTCCAGGGGGAGTGTGCCCTCCATCCTGGTTCTGCTGGCTGTCCTGGCCCCGGGGGCTGCAGGTCTCTGCCATTTCCGGGAGGGGCTGGGGCCTGGGCAGGAGGCGCGGTGCCCCCTGTGCCTTCCAGGGGGAGTGTGCCCTCCATCCTGGTTCTGCTGGCTGTCCTGGCCCCGGGGGGCTGCAGGTCTCTGCCATTTCCGGGAGGGGCTGGGGCCTGGGCAGGAGGCGCGGTGCCCCCTGTGCCTTCCAGGGCTGGAGAGTGGAGCTAGCTCATCTCATCGGGCCAGCTGGGGGTGGGGGCTGGCGATGGCAGGGACCAGTCCTCCCACTGGGCTGAGAGCACACGCCCGGTCCTCTTCCCCAGAGCAGGCGGACAGGTGTGGGGAAGGGCCCGAGGCTGCGGGCAGGGGTGAGGCCGGGCACCCAGGATCCGGAGGCCGGAGAATCCAGCTTCTGCAGCCCAAGCCTGCCACCTGGTGGTCAGAGCGCAAAGGCCCGCGTTCTGCCTGCAGAGAGCAGGACCCTGGGGCGGCAGAGAGCTGAGGTGGGGGGGCCACTTAACTTCCCCCTGCCCCCCCCCAGTATTCAACATCTCAAGCCTCTCCGGCCTGCTGTCCCCGGCACTGACCGAGAGCCTGCTGGTCGCCCTGCCGCCCTGTCACCTCACAGGGGGTAATGCCACCCTGACGGTCCGGAGAGCCAACGACAGCAAAGGTCTGCACCCTGCCCCAAGCCTCCCTTGGTCCCTTCCCAGGACAGCCCCAGCCTCCCTTCTCCCTGCATGCCTTCCCCGACCCCACTGCTGGGGCCTCGGAAACGCTGCCCGTCCCCCGGGGCCCCCAGAAGCTTGACCCTGCCTCTCACGCCCAATGTCCTGCCCAGCGGTGAGATCCAGCTTCGTGGTGCCGCCGTGCCGCGGGCGCAGGGAGCTGGTGAGTGTGGTGGACAGCGGGGCCGGCTTCACGGTCACCCGGCTCAGTGCCTACCAGGTGACGGACCTCGAGCCAGGGACCAAATACTAGTAGGTACTGGATCGGCCCGGAGTGCTTGTGGGAGGAGTGCAGGGAGTGATGCGGGTCCGGACATTTGAGTGGTGGTGGGATGTGGTCAGCATGGGGGAGAGTGAGGCCCAGCTACAGGGCTCAGGGATGGGCCCCCTGGAGGAGGGCACAGTGGAGACACAGCTGTGAAGGGGGGGCTGGGCTCTCTGGTCCCCCAAGTCCCAGACACGCGCTGAGGGTTCTCTCCTTTCTCTCCCCACCCCACCCCGAAAGCATTTCCTACCTAGTGATGAAGGGGGCATCCGCTGAGTCCAGCAGAGAGATCCCAATGTCTACCCTTGCTCGTAAGTAACACCGGCTCCCGCGCCCACCTCCAGGCCCCCGGTCTCCCTGGCTCTTGCTACCCATCCCCAGCTGCCCTCCTTGTGCCCCTGGGCTCCTTGGCTTAGCGCTGGGCCTCGGCTTTTTTTTTTTTTTTTTTAAATTTTTTTATTTTTTATCCTCACCCGAGGATATTTTTCCATTTTTTTTGTACAGATAGAGTGGGAGGGAGAGAGAGAGAGAGAAACATCGATGTGAAGGGACACATCGAGTGGCTGCCACCCGCACGACCAACCAGGGCCGGGGACAAACTGCAACCGAAGTACATGCCCTTAGTGGGAACCGAACCCGGGTCTCTCTGGACCGCAGGCCGACGCTCTAACCGCTGAGCCAAACCGGCCAGGGCTGGGCCTCTGCATTTTAACGGCCTGCTGACTCAGCTGCTGAACTCCAGGTTCCTCGTGGGGAGGGACGGTGTCCGATCAATTCCTGTCACCTCAGGAGTGACACCGGGAGAGGCTTCATGCTTGTCTGTGGAAGGCTGACCCCTAGCACGGTCAGTGGAAGCTGAACAAATAAGTGGAGCGAAGACAACAGGTTGGCTGGCTGGCTGGGGGGCTGGCTGGGTGCCCGGGGCTCAGCATCTCCCTGCTTTCTCTTCGGACAGGAAGGAAGGTGGAATCCATCGGGCTGGGAATGGCCCGGACGGGGGGCATGATCGTCATCACGGTGCTGCTGTCCGTGGCCATGTTCCTGCTGGTGCTGGGCTTCATCATCGCCCTGGCGCTGGGCGCCCGCAAGTGAGGCCCACGCCGGGCAGGGCCTCCCCCAGGACGCCCGGCACCATCCCGCTCTCAGCCCAGACTTCGCCTTCCGGTCCTGCTGCCTGCCTGGGGCCCCGTCCCTGTCCTCCGTCATTCCTGTGCCCGCACCCCCTCACCTTCCTCCCTCTGCCCCCCCGTCCCTAAGGCCCCCCTGTCCCCGGCTCTCCCCACGATGCCTCTCCTGTCGGATGGACTGTCCTCCCGGGTCTCCTCTTTGACGCCCCCACCCAGTGCTCAGAGTTCCCACAATAAAGCTGGAGCTGCTTCGCTGTGTGTTTCCCTTCCGTGGGCTCTGCTGGGCCTGAGCTGTGGTTCGCGTCCAGGCGGCAGGTCCCCCCCTGCCGTGGGCCAGAGGGGCTTCCCCGGGGACAAGGACGCGGGAGTCAGTTCTCAGACCCACACCTGGGCTGTGGTGTCTGCACCCCTCCACCGCAGGCCACCCGCCAGGGGCTGGTGCACCCTCAGGGGGCCTAGAGGACACAGGGCCTTTGGGGGTCCCCAGGATGAGCCCACGGACGAGGCCCTGGGAGCGGGGGGGTGGAGCCTAGGCTGAACGCGCTCTAGGAGGGAACAGAGGTCGAAGGACCCTGGTGGAGAGAGACAGGAGCAGAGCGGTCTGGTTGCCGAGGGAAAAGGCAGGAGGAGTCACCCTCATTCACTTTGGCCCTTCAGGTACGTCTTCCCTGGAAGGGTCAGTGGTCTTTGCATTGCTCTTAAAGTAAAGACTAAAATCTTCTTTTTTTTTTTTTTTTTTATTTATCCTCACCCAAGGACACTTTTTGATATTTTGTTCAAATAGAGTGGAAGGGAGAGAGAAAGAGAGAGAGAGAAACATCAATGTGAAAGGGACACACTGAGTGGTCACCACCCACACGACCCAACCAGGGCCTGGGACAAACTGCAACCAAGTTACGTGCCCTTAGCGGAAACCGAACCCGGGTCTCTCAGGACCGCAGGTCGACGCTCTAACCGCTGAGTCAAACCAGCCAGGACAAGACTAAAATCTTTAAGGTGACCTTCAAAACTTCCCTGGTCTCTCCCCTAACTGCCCCTCAGCTCCCTCTGGCCTCAGGGCCTTTGCACACACAATGCCATTTGCCTGGCCTGCTCTTGAGACTGCCCAGCTCCCTCTACTCCTATTTGCATACTTAATCCGGCCTCAGGGAAGCCTTCACTGACTTCCACCCTTTCACTAAATTGGGTTCTCCTGGGCTGTTATAACATTACTATGGTCCATGATCATATGTTTATATGATTATTGAATGTCTCCCCACCAGACTGTGAATTTCCTGAGAGTGGTCTCCTTGCTCCCAAGGGCCTGCGGTCCCTCTGCCCCACAGTGCCAGGGACGCCGTCCGTAGTATTCAATACATACTTGTTGAATAAGTGAATAAGCAATTCCCTTAAGAAAAGGAAGGGGCTGGAAAAGTACCAAACATTCTGCAAAACAATAAAAAGTGACGCACAGAGTTAGAAGATGTTGGAACAGTGGTCTTTTTTTTGGTTATATAATATGTTTTTATTGATTTTTTTTTTTTTAATCCTCACCCGAGGATATTTTTCCACTTTTTGTTCAGATAGAGTGGAAGGGAGAGAGAGAGAAACATCCACATGAAAGGGACACATCGAGTGGTTGCCACCTGCACGACCCAACTAGGGCCGGGGACAAACCGCAACCGAGGTACATGCCCTCAGCGGGAACTGAACCCGGGTCTCTCTGGACCTCAGGCCAATGCTCTAACCGCTGAACCAAACTGGCCAGGGTTGAAACAACATTTATTGTATGGCCGGTATGGCTCAGTGGTTGAATGTCGACTCATGCACCAAAAGGTCACCAGTTCAATTCCCGGTGAGGGCACATGCCCAAGTTGTGGGCTCGATCCTCAGTGGGGGGCATGCAGGAGGCAGCCAGTCAATGTGTCCCTCTCACATCTATGTTTCTCTCTCTCCCTTTCTCTCCCTCTTTTTCTACCTGAAGATAAGTAGAAAAAAAAATAAAATCAATAAAAGAAAAATAATTTTTTTTTGCTACATGCCCCTAACGGGAACCGAACCTGGGACTCTCTGGTCTGCAGGCCGACACTCCAACCGCTGAGCCAAACTGGCCAGGGCTTTTTAAAAGAATAAAACAACATTTACTGAGGGTCTCCTCTGTGCCAGGTACTCTCAAAGTTTTTGGTCTTATAGACAAGCAACAGACGACACCGCATAGGTTGGATGGGCCCTGACGTAGAACCAGGACACAGAGAGAAAGCAGAGGGGCCAGCTTACCCACTGGCCATATGGGGGGCAGGTTGACGATTAAAACAAACAATGATAGTCATAAATTGTAGCGCATTACATAAATAAGAATCCTTTGAGTCCATACTAATAAACAAACAAATATGGAGCAAGGAAAAGCTCTTTCTTACAATAGAATGCCAACTAAAAAAATAGAAAAAGAATGGTAAGTTTAGTCCAGCCCGTGTGGCCCAGTGGTGGAGCGTCGACCCTGCACCAAGAGGTCGCTCGTTTGATTCCTGGTCAGGACACATGCCCAGGTTGTGGGCCCGATCCCCAGTCGGGGGCGTGCAGAAGGCAGCCAATCAATGTTCTCTCTCATCCAGGTTCCTCTCTCTCTCTCTCCCTCTAAAATCAATAAAGAAAAAGCCCTGGCCAGTTTTCTAAGTGGTTAGAGCATCAGTCTGCAGACCAGCGAGTCCTGTGTTCGGTTCCTGCTAAGGGCACGTACTTCCGTTGCAGTTTGTCCCTGGCCCTGGTTGGGATTGTGTGGGTGGCAACCAGTCAATGTCTTTCTCGCATCAATGTTTCTCTCTCTCTCTCTCTTCCCCCCTCTCTCCCTCCTGCTCTATCTGAAAATAAATGCACGACAATGTCCACGGGTGAGGATAAAAAAGAAAAGAAGCCCTGGCCAGTTTTGCTCAGTGGTTAGAGCATCGGCCTGTGGTCCAGAGAGACCTGGGTTCGGTTCCCGCTAAGGGCATGTACCTCGGTTGCAGTTTGTCCTCGGACCTGGTTGGGTCGTGTGGGTGGTGACCACTCGATGTGTCCCTTTCACGTCGATGTTTCTCTCTCTCTCTCCCTCCCACTCTATCTGAACAAAAAATAGAAAAATGTCCTCTGGTGAGGATTAAAAAAAAACGAACGAAAGAAAATCGCCCTGGCCAGTTTGGCTCAGCGGTTGGAGCATCGGCCTGCAGACCAGAGAGTACTGGGTTCAGTTCCCGCTAGGGGCATGCACCAAAAAAAAAAAAAAAAAAAATCAATAAAGAAAAAAAAATATATATATTTTTTGTATTCATCAAAGCCAAATGTATTTCTTTCCATATTTCCCTGCGGACCAGGGTCTCTCTGGACCGCAGGCTGACGCTCTAACCGCTGAACCAAACCAGCCAGGGTGTGTATATCTTTTTTAAAAATTATTTTTATCAATTTGTTTTTATTACAGATGTTTATCCTTTTTTTTTTTTTTTTGATATTTTGTTCAGATAGAGTGGGAGGGAGAGAGAGAGAGAAACATCAATGTGAAAGGGACACATCGAGTGGTTGCCACCCACACAACCCAAACAGGGCCGGGGACAAACTGTAACCGAGGTACATGCCCTTAGCGGGAACTGAACCCGGGTCTCTCCAGACCACAGGCCAACGCTCTAACCTCTGAGTCAAACCGGCCAGGGCCAGATGTTTCTCCTTTTTGCCCCATTGACACCCTCCTCCCCACCCCCCAAGAAAAATATATTAAAAAAAGAATGATAGATTTAGAAAAATAATCATTTTAGCCCTGGCCGGTTTGGCTCAGCGGTCAGTGTCGGCCCGCAGACCAAAGAGTCCCGGGTTCGATTCCGGCCAACAGCATGTACCTCAGTTGGAGTTCATCCCCGGCCTCAGTTGGGGTCGTGTGGGTGGCAATCAATCGATGTGTCTCTCTCGCATCGATGTTTCTCTCTCTCTCTTCCACGTTTATCTGAAGATACATGTAAAAATATCCTCGGGTGAGGATAAAAACAAAAACAAAAAATAATCATTTCACACCCAAAAAATGATTGATTCAGGCCAGAAGCATGCACAGATGCTAGAATAAGTGAGCCCAGACTTGATAAGGAACAGGATTTTAGATGAAAGCATCTCTTCCCAAATTACTTTCTAATTGCAAAAGGAGGGAAACAGATAGTGGAAAAACCTGGTGGCCACCACTGAACCAAGTGATTGGAGTTAAATCACTAATAGCAGCCAGACTAACAGAATGTGCCTCTTGATGTGATGTATGAAGAAGGAATTAACATCACTGCTATGGTATTGCTGCCAAAAAACCCCTACGTCCAATAACGAGGAAACAGCAGATGAACCTTGACGCAGGCACATGCTACATAATAAATGGCCTGTACTCTTTTAAAATATCAATGTTATAAAAGATTTAAAAGGCTGAGTTACCGTTCCGGATTAAAGGATACTACAGAGACATGACAATTGCATCCTAGACCAGAAAATAAAAATTTTAATCGATTTTTAGAGAGACAGAGGGAGTGGGGGAGAGAGAAAGCCATCGATTTGTCATCCCACGCACTTATGCGTTCGCTAGGTTGCATCATTTTGTGTGTTGTGACCTGGGAGGGAACCAGCATCCTTGGCATGTTGGGACGACACTCTAACCGAGAGCTACCTGGCCAGGGCCCAAACCAAATTGATACCAAGGACATTATTGGGACAATAGGTGAAATTCGAATAGGACTTGTACATTAAACACAGTATGGAATTAAGGTTAAATTGTGTGATTTTGATAATTTTCTCACTTGTGATTTGATTTCCTCGTTAAACCAATATCCTTGTTTTCAGGAAATACACGCTGAAGTATCAATTGGCCAAGAGGCCGGATACCTGCCAACACTCTTAAACGGCTCAGACAAAAAAGGTGTTTTTTTTCATCTATAGAGAGGGAAAAACTAAAGTGTGATGAAATGCCAAATAATTAGTGTAACTGCTGAATTACAAGGTTTTGGTACACAAGAGTTTTTGTATAGCATTAGGAGTGTTCGGTATATTTGAAATTATTAAGAACAAAATTGAAACCCCGGCTGGTTTGGCTCAGCGGTTAGAGCGTCGGCCTGCGGTCCAGAGAGACCCGATGCGGTCCAGAGAGACCCGATTCGGTCCATCCCGCTAAGGGCATGTCCCTCGGTTGCAGTTTGTCCCCGGCCCGGTTGGAGTCATGTGGGTGGCAGCCAGTGCATGTCTCTCTCACATCCATTTCTCTCTGTCTCTTCCTCCCTCTCTCCCTCCCGCTCTATCTGAAGATAAATGCAAAAAAAAAAAGAACAAAATTGAAGAAATCAGCATTTGATCCCATCACCGGCTGGATCTTGGATAAGCCCTCTAATCCATGGGAACTTCCAGAGGGTTAATACCGTCCTGGAGTCACTTTTCAGTAAGGAGCTGTGCCGGTGGGGTGGGGTAGCACCTGGGAGAAGCACCTGTGGTCCCCCCGTGCCCATCCCGCGCGAGGCCCGAGGGCGCCGGCTCCCTGAGCCCACACCGGGCGCACCGCCGCTGGAGGAAGGGGCCTGGCCCGGCGTCGCCGACTCCGCGCGAAGGTGGACCTGCGCGTGCGGAACCTGGCCTTCTGGGCCGGCCTCCACGGCCAGGTGCCCGGGCTGCTGGACTGGGACATGGGCAACGAGTGCTTCCTGGCCTTCAACACCTCGCACCTGCCGCTGGCCGAGCAGAACCGTGAGCGGGGCGGCGGGCGGCTGGTGGGCAGGACCCGGCTCCGGCCTGGCTGGGCGCGCGGGGGGCGCACGGGCCCGGCCCCAGCCCCACTCCCACAGCCCCACTCCCACAGCGAGCGCGCCCGGGGGCCAGAACCTCCCAGGCCGCTGCGGGCCGTCCCTCCACGGCGCCACGGCCTGGGCGCGCTCCTGGGGGCTGGTTTGTCTCTAAAAACCCTGTAATGTCTGCATCCCCACCCGCGCTACACTGTCCCACTCGTGGGGGGCTCGGGGTTTGGGGCCCGCACCTTTCAGCGCCCACCTGTGCGCACGGTGGAGGGAGGGGCCTCCTCCATGGGGGTCCTTTCCCCTGAGTCAGCACCCCACCCTGTCACCTTCCACAGCCCCTGGGTCACCCGGACCCAGGGCGTGTTTTTGAGATATGTGTGCCTTTGAACACGTTAGCATTCTTTCGTGTTTGTAGATGACCTTAATGCACGTCATGCTTGTTGTTTCTTCCTGTTTGGTTTGGTTTACTTCTCTGAGGAGCCTCCTCTTGCTGTGTCTTCCTGCGGCAGAGAGAGCATGTTCCGAGGATGTTCTTCCATTTATCTTTAGATTAGAGCAGGAGGGAGGGAGGGAGAGAGACACGGATGTGAACGGACGCCGACTGGTTGCCTCCCGCAGGACCCTGACTGGGCGGGCACTGAACCACAACCGAGGCACATGCCCTTGACTGGAATCAAACCCCAGACTCTTTGGTCCTGGGGCCGACGCTCTAACCGCTGAGCCAACCCGGCCAGGGCGAGATGACTTTTCCTTCGAGAGCCATTCCGGGGGCTACGTGTAGATCTGCTCATCGTTTGGCCTGTTGGGCCGCAGTCCACAGGCAACAACTGCTCTTTCCGGCTCCTTCCTAACGGAGACCGAGACCGCCTCCGCCTCGGCCACCACGGAGACCCCGATGGGCGTGCTGTGTCTTCCCTGGTTCAAGAAGATTTTACTGAGCACCTCCGCTTTGCCAGGCTCTGTTCTAGACACTATGGTACATAAGGAAAAAACAGACAAGGTGTCAGGCGCTTACATTCTACCAGGGACAAACAGACAATCCACATAAAAGTTTTATATACTAGCCCGGCCGGTGTGGCTCTGGTTGAATGTCGACCCTGCACCAAGAGGTTACTGGTTCGATTCCCGGTCAGGGCACATGCCCAGGTTGTGGGCCCGATCCGCAGTGGGGGGCGTGCAGGAGGCAGCCAATCAGTGTTCTCTCTCATCGATGTTTCTCTTTCCCTCTCCCTTCCTCTCTCTCTAAAAACCAATAAGGAAAAAAAATTTTTTTTTTAATTTTATATATTAGTATGTGACAAGGTGATAACTGAGATGGGGAGAGGACACAGTAGGAGGGCTCAGGCATGGGGTGGGGGCGGGGAAGGTGGTGCCAGCTACAGTTTTCAATGGGATTGTCGGGCTGGGCCTCCTGGGAGCACCCTGTCTGAGCAGTTTGGGGAGGTGAGGTGGTGAGGCCAGAGAAGGCTACTAGGAGGGAAGCTTCCCGGCAGCAGCAGCAGCCAGTAGGAAACCCCAGGGGGGCCTCTGCTTGGTGTGTTCGGGGACCTGGAAAGAGGCCAGTGAGGTGGATGAAGGTGAATAAAGAGAGTGGACAGGGTGCTGACTTCACTTTAAGGGTGCTGGGGTGGTCTTTGAGTAACCTGGGGCAGGGCGGAAAGGTTCTGAGCAGAGGAGACAGTCCCCAGCGTCATGAGTACGTAACCTGTGTGGCTGCACAGGATGGCTGTACTTCATGCAATGCTCTGCTAGAATTGTCGAGATTTTCAATAACTCTGGAACACGGAGCTCTGCAGTGGGCCCTGCAGTTGATGGCGCCGACCCGGCATGATCTATGTTCTGAAAAGATCATCGCAGTCGCTGTGTTGCGGGGACCCTGGAGACGGAAAGAAACTGGGAGCGTAGAAGCCAGGTGACTAGTTTCTAGAAGGCTGTTGCAGTAATTCCAACAAGAGATGATGCTAGGCTGGACCAGGGTGGTAGCAGAGGACACGATGAGAAGGTAGAACCATCTAGATGTGCTAACAGATTGGATGTGTGGGGTAAGAAAGCTAGATTAGAGGGTGAAAGTCCGGAGTCCCAGAGAGTCTTTGGTGTAGAGGTGGCAGTAAAGAGTGAGAATAAAGAGCGAGGAGGAACAAGGATGAGCCCTGGGGCGTCCCATTGTAAAGAGACTGGAGGGAGAAGAGATAACCCGCAAACAGGGAGGAAAGACCCTTGAGAATGAAAATGAGATTGTGGCTCCCGGGAAACCAAGTGGAGTTAAGTGTTTCAAGGAAGATCAGCTGAGGCATCTGGGAAGAGGTGGGGCAAGTGGATCGAGCTAACCGGCCTTGAAGACAGGGTTTGGGTGGGGTGGGAGGAGAAAGCCTGGTGAGCAAGGGGAAGGAGGGAAGGCGGGGAAGTAGAGACAGAAACTTCTTTTTCTTGTTGTTAATCCTCACCCAGGATGTTTTCCCATTGATTTTCAGATAGAATGGGAGGGAGGGAGGGAGGGAAGGAGAGAGAGAGAGATTGGTTGCCTCTAGGCCAGGATTAAATCTGCCCTTGACTGAGAATCAAGCCCACAGCACTTCACTGAGCCAACCTGGCCAGGGCAACTCTAGGCCATTCTTTTTTTTTTTTTTTTTTTATCCTCACCCGAGGATATTTTTCCATTTTTTGTACAGATAGAGTGGGAGGGAGAGTGAGGGAGGGAGAGTGAGGAAGGGAGAGAGAGAGAGAGAAACATCGACGTGAAGGGACACATCGAGTGGCTGCCACCCGCATGACCAACCAGGGCCGGGGACAAACTGCAACCGAAGTACATGCCCTTAGCGGGAACCGAACCCGGGTCTCTATAGACCGCAGGCCGACGCTCTAACCGCTGAACCAAACTGTAGGCCATTCTTTCAAGGAGTTCTCTCTCAACAAAGGCGAACATGTGGGACAGTGTCCTGGCACAGTAAGGGGGGGCAAAAGAAGGTTTTTTTTCTTTATTGATTTTAGAGAGAGAGGAAGGGAGAGAGAGAGATAGGAACATCGACTGGCTGCCTCCTGCACGCCCCCAACTGGGGATCAGGCCCACAACCTGGGCATGTGCCCTGACCCGGAATCGAACTGGCAACCTCTTGGAGCATGGGTCGACGCTCAACCACTGCGCCGCACCGGCCAGGTGGAGGTGATATGTTTCTACGTGGTACAAAAATTAGATTTTGGCCCAGCTGGTGTGGCTCAGTGGATTGAGTGTCCTCTCGTGGACTGAGAGGTCCCGGTTCGATTCCTGGTCAGGGCACATGCCGGGGTTGCAGGCTTGATCCCTGGTGGGGTGCGTGCAGGAGGCAGCCAATTGATGTTTCTCTCACATCAGTGTTTCTCTCTCTCCCTTTCTTTCTCTCTAAAAAAAAAACAATAAAAAAATATTAAAAATTTGGTTGGGAGAGGTTTTAGTTACCGGTTCAGTTTCTGACCGAGAGAGAGAGACAGTCTAAAGTGAAATGGAAGGCAGAATCTTCGGAGGAGAAGAGTTCAAGAAGCCAGGTTATTTGGAGAATTGTCTGTGTATTGAAGTAGCCAAGACGTAAGACAGGAGCAGTGTTAGGGATGGTGAGCCCGGAGCCAAGCCCCTAAAGGGGGAGAGGCCGAGAATTTAGTAGATGACAGCAACAACGCAGATGAACGGATACGTTCCTATATTAACTTGAATACATGTACCCAGGAGTCAACAGTGTAGTAATTTATAATCTACGTGGATAATCTACATGGTTAGTCTTCAAGGGGCAGCACCAGTTGCTATCAGATTTTCAGTGTGATCAAGAATTCTATCTCTCTGCATCTGTGTCAACACTTGGATTGTCTGTTTTTATTCTTGTCAGTGTGATGTAAAATGTTTTATTAGTAAGGCTAAGCATCTTTTTTTTCCCTGACTTCATTTTATTTTTATTTATTTATTTATTTATTTATTTATTTATTTTTTTTTTTTTTATCCTCATCCGAGGACATTTTCCCATCTTTTTGTTCAGGCAGAGTGGGAGGGAGAGAGAGTAACAGAGAGAGAGAAACATCGATGTGAAAGGAACACATCGAGTGGCCGCCACCCGCACAACCGACCAGGGCCGGGGACAAACTGCAACCGAGGTACGTGCCCTTAGCGGGAACCGAACCCGGGTCCCTCAGGACCGCAGGTCGACGCTCCAACCGCTGAGCCAAACCGGCCAGGGCTATTTTTATTTATTTTTTAAATATTTTTTTAATTAATTTATTTTTGTTACAGATGTTTCTTTTTTCCCCATTGACACCCTCCTCCCAAACCCACCCCCACCCCCAGCATTGTTGTCTATGTCCACGGTTACGCATACATGCGTATAAGTTCTGTGGTTTATCTCTTCCCCTCCCCCTCACCCCTCTTCTGAGGTTTGTCAGTCTCTACCCTACTTCTATGTCTCTGGGTCTATTTTGTTCATCAGCTTGTTTTCTTCATTATATTCTACAAATAAGTGAGATCATATGAAACTTGTCTTTCTCTGATTGGCTTGTTTCACTTAGGATAATACTCTTCAGGTCCCTCCATGTCATCTCAAAGGATAAGAGATCTTTCTTTCTTACAGCTGCATAATATTTCATTGTGTATATGTACCACAGCTTTTTTATCCATTCGTCTATTAATGGATATTTGGGCTGTTTCCAGATCTTAGCTCTTGTAAATAGTGCTGCTATGAACATAAGGGTACATATATTCTTTCCAATTGGTGTTTCAGGTTTCTTAGGATATACTCTAGAAGTGGAATCACTGGGTCAAATGGCAATTCAATTTTTAATTTTTTGAGAAAACACCATATTGCTTTCCATAGTGGCTGCACCAGCCTGCATTCCCACCAGCAGTGTACTAGAGTCCCCTTTCTCCACACCCTCGCCAGCACTTGTTGTTTGAAGATTTGTTGATGGCGGCCATTCTGACAGGTGTGAGGTGATGCCTCACAGTTGTTTTAATTAGGGTGAGCATCTCCTTAGTCATTCAGGTGTCCTGTCCTTGTGAATACTGATTGTATCTTCTGCCCCTTATAGGTTTGTGTTGGCCCTTCACTGATTAAGCTATAGAAGCTGTCCATCGAATTCGTATTATGTTTTTGTTTATTTAGGTCTTTTTTGTCCTTAAATAGTGATGGCATCTTTTTCCCATAAAAGTCTAGTCCATTATTTGATGGGTTAATCCTGGAAAGTTTATAACTTTGGTCGCTATTGTGAACGGTACCTCTTTTTTTTTATCCTCATCTGAGGATGTTTTTATTGATTTTTGGAGAGAGGAAGGGAGAGAGACCGAAACATCAATTGGTTGCCTCTGGTATGTGCCCCGACCAGGGATTGAACCTGTGATCTTTGGGTGTACAGGACAACACCGCAACCAGCTGAGCCACCCGGTCAGGGTTGAACAGCACCTTTTTTAAAAAAAATTGTCTTTCCCAGTTTCTTAACACTGGTGTAGAGGAACAGTATTGATTAGTATGTTGTTCTCAAGTCCAGCAAACTTCCTGGATTCTTATTGGTTCTAATAATTTGTATATCGATTTTGTATGGTTTTTCTGTTAATCATTTTGGGGGTAAGTAATGGCAGTTTTGTCTCTTTCTTTCCAACTTTATTCTCTTGCTCCTTTTCCCTTTTTTGAGTACTGTACTGAACATTAGCAATGTAATGGGCACCCTTTCTAATGACTCAGCTCGCCAATAAGTATATCATTTTCCAGACCAAAACCTAGATTCAGCTCTAATGTGACGATACTCATGGGGACAATGAAGGAACACAAATACTTCCCCCATGAGTCAGCATAGTGCCAACACAGGGGTTCTCAACCTGTGGGTCACGACCCCTATGGGGGTCGAACAACCCTTTCACAGGGGTTGCCTGAGACATAACAGTAGCAAAATTACAGTTATGAAGTAGCAATGAAAATAATTTTATAGTTGGAGGTCACCACAACATGAGGAACTGAATCAAAGCGTCGCAGCATTAGGAAGGTTGAGAACCACTGCTCGAATATATACTTTTAAAAAAAATATATATTTTTTTTCTTTATTGATTTTAGTCAGAGAGGAAGGGAGAGGGAGAGAGAGATAGAAACATGGACGAGAGAGAACATCGACTGGCTGCCTCCTGCACGCCCCCCACTGGGGATCGGGCCCACAACCTGGGCATGTGCCCTGACCGGGAATCGAACCGGTGACCTCTTGGTGTAGGGTCAACGTTCAACCACTGAGCCACCCTGGCCAGGCTCTAATATATATTTGATTGACTCAGCCCACTACTCATTCATCCAAATAAGCCGCGCTTCTCCCATGTGCCAGGCAGCAGACAGGACAGACCTGGGGATAGGCCCTGGAGTACCACTTACTGAGCTGGGGAGAGAGTTGGGGGGTCAGGAAAAGCCTGCTTTATTTATTTATTTATTTTTATCCTCACCCGAGGACACTTTTCCATTTTTTGTACAGATAGAGTGGGAGGGAGAGAGAGAGAGAAACATCGATGTGAAGGGACACATCGAGTGGCTGCCACCCGCACGACCAACCAGGGCCGGGGACAAACTGCAACCGAGGTACGTGCCCTTAGCGGGAACCGAACCCGGGTCTCTCCGGACCGCAGGCCGACGCTCCAACCGCTGAGCCAAACTGGCCAGGGCTAGACATCTTTTAAAGCAGGCTTTTCCTGCCCTGGCCGGTTTGGCTCAGCGGTTGGAGCGTCGGCCTGCGGTCCGGAGAGACCCGGGTTCGGTTCCCGCTAAGGGCACGTACCTCGGTTGCAGTTTGTCCCCGGCCCTGGTTGGTCGTGCGGGTGGCAGCCACTCGATGTGTCCCTTCACATCGATGTTTCTCTCTCTCTCTCCCTTCCTCTCTCTCCCTCCCACTCTATCTGTACAAAAAATGGAAAAGTGTCCTCGGGTGAGGATAAAAAAAAAAGATGTCTAAACGAGCCCTGGCTGGTTGGGCTCAGCAGTTAGAGCGTCGGCCTGCGGTCCAGAGAGACCCGGGTTCGGTTCTCGCTAAGGGCATGTACCTCGGTTGCAGTTTGTCCCCGGCCCTGGTCGGTTGTGCGGGTGGCAGCCACTCGATGTGTCCCTTTCACATCGATGTTTCTCTCTCTCTCTCTTCTTCTGGCTCTGTCGGAATAAAAAGTGGGAAAATGTCCTCGGGTGAGGATAAAAAAAAAAAAGATGTCTAAAGGAGACACGATGGGTGAGGAGCAAGGAACTGTGCAAGCAGGAAGGGGGGCGTGTCCCCAGCAAAGGAAGCAGCTGTGGACACCTGGCATCTGGAGGGGTCTGGAGATGAGCGGAGAGTCTGGGGGGGTGACTCAACCGGACGAGCAGCCGGGCCTCTTACACTCTCCAGGAACAGCCTCAGATTTGGCCTAAAGGCGATGGAAATCCTCTCAGCTTTACCCAGCAGGGTGACGAGATGGGATGGACATTTCAGGAAGGCCATTCAAACTGCAGTATGATCCCTTAAGGAAAAGAGGGTAAACTGACCCTTCGGACTAGGGTGGTAGGACGAGGTGATTGATTGGGTGTGGCTGTATGGGACAGAGAAGAGTAAGAGTGATTTCCCGTTCTGGGTGCTCAGTGGTTAGAGCCTCCTCCCTCAGCCTGAGGGGTGGCAGGTTCGATCCCCGGCCGTCGGGGTTGTGCAGGAGGCAACCGATCAATGTTTCTCTCTCCCTCCCTTCCCACTTTATCTGAAAAGTCAATGGAAAAATATCCTCAGGTGAGGATTAAAAAAAAAACAACTAGCCCCGGCTAGTTTGGCTCAGCGGTTAGAGCATCAGCCCACGGACCAGAGTCTGGGGTTCGGTTCCCACGAAGGGCACGTACCTCAGTTGCAGTTTGTCCCCTGCCCCCATTGAGGTCGTGTGGGTGGCAACTACTCGACGTGTCTCTCTCATGTTGATGTTTCTCTCTCTCTCTTCCCTACTCTCTCCCTCCCACTCTATCTGAAGATAAATGCAAAAAAAAAAAAAAACAAACAACTAGCCCAGCCGGTGTGGCTCAGTGGTTGAGCATCGACCCTGCACCAAGAGGTCACCAGTTCGATTCCTGGTCAGGGCACATGCCCAGGTTGTGGGCCCGATTCCCAGTGGGGAGCATGCAGGAGGCGGCCAATCGATGTTCTCTCTCATCAATGTTTCTCTCTCTCTCCCTCTCCCTTCCTCACTCTCTAAAATCAATAAAAATTAAAAGGTGCAGGGGGGGGGACAACTAGTAGTGTCCTAACTCCCCGAGGGCTCAGCCCTGCCCCAGGAATCTCCCCACCTGCCCGCCCGGGATGCTGGGAGCGCAGCGGAAACCCTAGGAAGTCTTGACCTTCCTCTATCTTTCCTTCTGTCAGTGGCCAAATACAGACTCCGCATAGTTGAGCCCCCGAAACTCCCCCTGAAGAAGAAACCCAACCCTGACAGAGATGGTGAGTCGCGGGTGTGAGTTCTCCCACATGCTGGCCCGCGGCTTGGGCTGACACCCCGAGCCTGAGCGAAGGCACCCGCTCCCCTTTCTCTCTGCACAGGTCCTGATATTGAGCCCAACCTGTGGATGTGGGTGGACCCCAACATCGTGTTTCCCCCTGGAAAGCTGGAGGTCCGGCATCCTAGGAAGGGGGAGGCTCTGACAAGCCCTGCCCAACAGCAGCCCCCAAAAGAGGAGGACTCCGCCCACTGCTCAGAGGCCAGACCTGCGGAACCGCTGCCTCCATCCTCCGGGGACCCCTCTCCCCCTCCCAAGCAGTTCGGCCCTTCCCCCGGCTCCTGGGAGGTAGGGATTTCTGGGGCTGTAGGCAGGGTGGCAAAGGGGTGATGCATCAGAGTTCTGTTTTCCAGGGATAACGCAGGGTTAACGGGTTCAGACATTAGCTGCGCCCCTGGGTTGGGGAGCCGCCCAGATGGGGGCCCCAGACCGCTGCCCCCCTGCACCCGGAGCAGAGGCCCTGGAGTCAGGACCAGTTCCTACTCTGCTCCTGTAGCTCCCAGAAGAGGAAGCTCAGGACGAGGATGACCGCTCCCCTGTGGCTCTCCCGTCCCCTCACAAAAGGGCCCCCCTCCAGAGCCGGAGGCTTCGGCAAGCCAGCAGCCAGGAGGGGAGGCTCTGGCCCCGGCCCCCCCTCAATTACTTCCACCTAATCGCACTGGCGTTAAGAAACAGTTCCCCGCGGGGCCTCAACGTGCAGCAGATCTACCGGTTCACGCGGTAGGTGCCCGGGCCCTGCGGGGGGCGCGGGAGGGGCAGGGTCCCCGTCGGAGGATGAGAGGGTCCCTGTATTCCCAGGGTTCCTTTCCCAGACTCGGGTCTGGGTGTGTCCACAGGTCACATGTCCAGGACATACCCACCCCGCCCCTCTCACATGAGAAAACTAACCTTTTTTTTTTATCCTCACCTGAGGATATTTTCCCATTTTTTTGTTCAGATAGAGTAGGAGGGAGAGAGAGAGAGAGAGAAACAACGACGTGAAAGGGACACGTCGACTGGCTGCCACCTGCATGACCCAACCAGGGCCGGGGACAAACTGCAACCGAGGTACATGCCCTTAGTGGAACCGAACCCGGGTCTCTCAGGCACACAGGCTGATGCTCTAACTGCTGGGCCAAACTAATCTTTTTATATCTTAGTTTTTTTGTTGTTTTTTTTTTATCCTCACCCGAGGACATTTTTTTTTTGTTCAGATAGAGAGGGAGGGGGAGAGAGGAAGAGAGAGAGAGAAACATCGACGTGAAAGGGACACATTGAGTGGCTGCCACCCGCACGACCAACCAGGGCCGGGGACAAACTGCAACCGAGGTACATGCCCTTAGTGGGAACCGAACCCGGGTCTCTCGGGACCGCAGGCCGACGCTCTAACCACTGAGCCAAACCGGCCAGGGCTTAGTTTTTGTTTTTTAACACTTTTTCTTTATTGATTTTAGAGAGGAAGGGAGAGGGAGAGAGAAACATCGATGAAAGAGAACATTGGCTGCTTCCTGCATGCCCCCCGCTGGGGATCGAACCCACGACCTCTTGGTGCAGGGTTGACGCTCAACCCAAGCCACACTTTTTAACGCATCTTTATTGTTGGATGTATTACACATGCCCCCTCTTTATCCCCCGTTGGCCCCTCCTCCCCGCTATATCTCACTTCTTTAACACAAATTCACGGGGTGACATCCCTCTCGAGATCATCTCTGTGAAGTCTGGGTCCCCGCCCCTCTCTCGTGCTGTCCCTTTGCACTGGGCCCCGGGGCACCCGGTGGAGAAGGGATTTACATCCAGCCTTGGTGTGAGGGGTTTCTCGGGCCTTCCAGTATCAGAAGAGTCTCGGGGTGTTAGTCCTCAGGTGGGATCCCCCTGGGCCAGGATCCTCTCGGGAGCCGTTTGGCCTAATTATGCTTCCTTCCTGTTGCGAGTGCACGTCCTGAGTTCTCCGAGGCAGGGAATGGGGGCAGTGGACTGGGTTCAAGACGAGGGTTTGTGCAGGCCGGACGCAGGTGAGGTTTGCCACGTGCCCGGTCCGCAAGGCCGTGTGCGCCCGCGGGCCGTTCTCCACCTGCAGAGAAGGGCTGAGGTGCCTGGCCCGGGGGGAGAACAAGGATCGGGCGTCCCGCAGACACCGTGCCTCTCCTTCCCGGTCCCCCCTGTCCACAGGCAGCATTTCCCCTTCTTCCGGACGGCCCCGGAGGGCTGGAAGAACACCATCCGCCACAACCTCTGCTTCCGAGACAGCTTTGAGAAGGTGCCGGTCAGCGTGCCGGCGGGGGACAGCCCGTGGCCTCGGTCCTGCCTCTGGAAGCTGACTGCGGAGGGACACCGCCGCTTCGAGGAGGAGACCCGGGCGCTGGCCTCCAGGCACCTGGAGGGCATCCAGCAGAGCATGAGCCAGCCAGGTGTGCGGCCCTGTCCCCTGGTGCGGGGAGGGGGCCTGAAGACCCCGGCCTGAGACAATGTGCACGGGAGGCACTGGCCACACCTGGGGCACCTCCCGAGCCCTGGGTGGTGCCTGCCTAAGGAGGGACCCACATAAGCACAGGACTTGAGGTGCAGGGAGCTGATGGAGAAACAGCTCAGGTGTCATTGGTCCCACAGCCAGCAGCCCAGGGACACGGTGACCACACGTCAGCACGGGGGCGGGGGGGGGGGGGGGGGAGACGTTAGGTGCAAAAGGGCCTTTTCTTCCCCCCGGATGCCAGCTGGCACGTGGGCCTGGAGGAGATCACCAGTTGTGAGGGCGCTGCGGGCTCAGGGCACACCGCTGGAGGGGCAGGTAGAGCCCGTGCACCCCTCTTTTCTTACAGATGTGATACCCTTCCTCTTCGACCTTTAAGTCCAGGAAGCAAGAGCCGGCCCACCTTATTAAAGTTCCCTGCAGCAGCCGTGTGTGCGCGTGCGTGCGTGCTCTCTGGGGGTGGGGGAGGGGGGCAGCTCTGAGGTTGGACATGGGATGCCCTCCGCGCTGATGGACGCTCCAGGGCAATGGGCAGTTGCCTGCTGTGCAGCAAAGGGGTCCCATACTCTTCTGTCTTCAAAGGAAGAAAATACACAGCCCTCTTTAGGATCCTGGCGCGATCCCCACTCCTCTGGGTTGTTGGAATAGTCCTGGGACATGCTGGCTGGTGGCAGCCAGTCCTGCAAAAGGCCCAGAGCAGCACCACTCAGGAGGGATGGGCTGGGGACAGCAGAGAGAAGCCTGGGAAACAGGTCGTCTGGGGGGCAGCTGCAGGAAGGCACCCTCACAGGCCGTGAAGGAGCAGTGAGAAAGAATTTCCTGGAAAGGGGGGTAGGCAGGCCCTGGCCGTGTGGTTCAGTGGTTAGAGCACTGGCCCCACACCAAAGGGTCGCAGGTTCGCTTCCTGGTCAAGGGCATGTACCTGGGTTGCAGGTTCGATCCTGTGCCCCAATTGGGGCACATGCTGGAAGCAACCCATCGATGTGTCTCTCTCCCTCCACTCCCTCCCCCTCCTCCCTTCCACTCTCTCTAAAAATCAAATGGAAAAAATGTCCTCAGGTGAGGACGACCTGGTCCACTTCGTCCGCACTGCACACATCCTTATCCCTGTCCACATTTCGCCCATGTCTGGTCTCAGTCAAAAGTGCCTCCCAAAAGGCAACCGTTCAGGAAGAGAGAAAATAATACAGCCTTTGTGGGAAAAGTGACCCTGGGAAAGTCTGCCTTGACCCACTTTATCCCCAGTAGAGCGTTACACTCCTCCCTGCGTGTCCTCCTTTTTCTCATTCAACAATTGTTTTCAGTTTTCAATATGCCTGGTCCTGTGCCAGGGAGACAGTGAGACCCAAGATGGGTCCTCCCTCCGTTCTCAACCTAGATGGAAAGATATTAGACACTAATGATGTCCAGTGATCATATTAATAAGGTGAGTTTAGCTTATTGTGGGTACTTAGATTGGAGAGGTCAGAGAAGGCCTAAGAAATACATTTTTGTTGTTTTAACATTTTTTTTTTATTTTTTAGAGAGAGAGAGAAACATTGATATGAGAGAGAAACATCAATCGGCTGCCTCCTGCACGCCCCCTACTGGGGGTCAAGCCTGCAACCCAGGCCTGTACCCTGACCAGAATCCAGCCGGGACCTCTCAGCTCATGGGACAGCGCTCCACCCGCTGAGCCACACCTGCTGGGCAGAAAGACATTTTTTTTTTTTAATTAATTTTTTTCTTTATTTATCTTTAAAGAGAGAGGAAAGGAGAAGGAGAGAGAGATAGAAACATCAATGAGAGAGAACATCAATTGTCCGCCTCCTGCATGCCCCCCACTGGGGATTTGGCCGATGACCTGGGCATGTGCCCTGACTGGGAACCGAAGTGGTGACCTCTTGGGCAGGGTCAACCACTGAGCAACACCGGCCGGGCCAGAAAGACATTTTTAAATGTTTTTTTGTTTTTATCCTCACCTGAGGACATTTTCCATTTTTTGTTCAGATAGAGTGAGAGGGGGAGAGAGAGAGAGAAACATCGACATAAAAGGGACACATCGAGTGGCTGCCACCCGCACAACGCAACCAGGGCCAGGGACAAACTGCGACAAGGGGGAACCGAACCCGGACCTCTCTGGACCGCAGGCCAACGCTCTAACCGCTGAGCCAAACCGGCCAGGGCGTTTTTTTGCTTTTCTTTATTGATTTCAGAGAGAGAACGGGAGAGGGCCTGCCAGACCCCTGCCGCTGCAGGCCCCCTACTGGGGATTCGGCCGCAGCCCTGACCAGAACTGCGAGGATGCTCGACCACTGAGCCGCACCGCCGGCCTAAGGCAGACACTTTAACTGAGACCTATATGACGAGTATCCAGGCCGAAGATGAAAGGAAATCTTTCTGGTAGAGGAAACAGTAGGCAAAGCCTCCTCGCGTTCATCTGAGAGAAGGGAAAGGCCATGGCAAACAGAATATAGTGAGCAAGGGGAGACAGATCCCGGGTGAGCGGGAAGGGAGGCAGGGACTAGCCACGTAGGCCTCAAGTGACATAAAATCATGCTGAGCCACTTGCCCTGGCCAGGCGGCTCAGGTGGTTGGAGCGTCACTCCATGTACCAAAAGGCTGCGGGTTCGATCCCTGGTCAGGGCACGTACGGGAGGCAACCACTCGATGTTTCTTTCTCTCTTCCTCTCAAATCAATAACAACATCCTCAGGTGTGGATTTAAAAAGTGATGATATGCCCTGGCCAGTTTGGCTCAGCGGTTGGAGCGTCGGCCTGCGGTACAGAGAGACCCAGGTTCGGTTCCCGCTAAGGGCATGTACCTTGGTTGCAGTTTGTCCCCGGCCCTGGTTGGTCGTGCGGGTGGCAGCCACTCGATGTGTCCCTTCACATCGATGTCTCTCTCTCTCTCTCTTCCTCTCTGCCTCCCGCTCTATCTGAACAAAAAATGGAAAAATGTCCTCGGGTGAGGATAAAAAAATAAAAAAAAGTGATGATAGCCCTGGCCGGTTTGGCTCACTGCTTGGAGCATTGACCTGAGGACCAGAGAGTCCCGGGTTCGGCTCCTGCTAGGAGCACATACCAAAAAAATTAATAAGCCCGGCCAGTGTGGCTCAGTGGTTGGGCGTCAACCCAGCACCAAGAGGTCGCCGGTTCAATTCCCGGTCAGGGCACATGCCCAGGTTGTGGGCCCGATCCCCAGTGCGGGACGTGCAGGAGGCGGCTGGTCGATGATCTCATCAATGTTTCTCTCTCTCTCCCTTCCTCTCTCTCTAAAATCAACAAAGAAAAAGAATTTTCTTTTCAATGATAAAATAAAATCCTGTTCAGCCCTTCACTGGAAGTGGCTTGCTGGGAGCCCGCAGGGGAGCAGGAGGACCTGTTGGGAGGTCTCTGCAGGCTCCAGGCGGACTGGGCAGGGCGGAGGCAGGAGAAACGGAGAGAAGCTGACTGATGTGATGATGCATCTTGGAGGTGGAATCGACAAGTCAGCAGGCCTGACTGGGCGCAGGAGAAAAGAACAGGTTTTTGGTTTGAGCAACTGGGGGAAGGACGAGAAAAGCCCGGGAGCAGCAGGTTTAAGCAGTTCTGTTCAGACTCAGGCACCAGGGTGCTTGTGTCAAATACGTTATAATCGGAGTCGAGACGATAAGTCTGAGCCGGAGATGTAAGCACATTTGAGAGTCACTGGGACATAGATAATGTTTAAATCCTGCTTTATTTACTGACAGAAAGATATCTACAATATACCCTGGCCGGGTAGCTCAGTTGGTTAGCACAATGATCCTGATACACAAAGGGTGCAGGTTCGACCCCAGTCAGAGCACATACAAGAATCAACCAAGGGCCCTGGACAGTTTGGCGCAGCGGTTGGAGCATCGGCCTGCGGTACTGAGAGACCCGGGTTCGGTTCCCGCTAAGGGCACATACCTCGGTTGCAGTTTGTCCCTGGCCCTGGTTGGTCGTGCGGGTGGCAGCCACTCGATGTGTCCCTTCACATCGATGTTTCTCTCTCTCTCTCTTCCTCTCTCTCCCTCCCGCTCTATCTGAACAAAAAATGGAAAAATGTCCTCGGGTGAGGATAAAAAAAAAAAGAACCAAGGAATGCATAGCTAAATGGAATAACAAGTCCATGTCTCTCAAATCAATTTCAACCAAGAGGTTGCTGGTTCGATTCCCGGTCAGGACACATGCCCAGGTTGTGGGCCCAGTCCCCAGTGGAGGGCATGCAGGAGGCAGCCAATCGATGTTTCTCTCTCCCCTCCTCTCTCTAATATCAATAAGAAAAAAATTGTAAAAAAAAAGACCAGCCAGTGTGGTTCAGTGGATTGAGTGTCATCCATGGACTGAAAGATCTGTTTGGATTCCCGGTCAGGGCACATGCCTGGGCTGTGGGCTCAATCCCCAGTAGGGGGCATGCAGGAAGCAGCCAATCAATGTTTCTCTCTTGCATCCATGTTTCTATATCTCTCCCTTCCTTTCTAAAAACTCAATAAAAACATTTTTAAATTAAAGATGTCACCCTGGCCGGTTTTGCTCATCGGTTAGGGCATCAGCCTGAGGTCCAGTGAGACCCAAGTTCGGTTCCCGCTAAGGGCATGTACCTCGGTTGCAGTTTGGCCCTGGCCCTGGTTGGGTTGTGCAGGATGTGTCCCTTTCACATCAATGTTTCTCTCTCTCTCCCTCCCACTCTATCTGAACAAAACATGGAAAAATGTCCTCGAGTGAGGATAAAAATAAAAAAAATTAAAGATGTCCACAATACATTTTTTGGAGTAAAACACAACTGTATGCCCCCTGGCCAGTACTGTTCAGTGGTTAGAGCGTCAGCCCACAGTCCAGAGAGACCCGGGTTGGGTTCCCGCTAAGGGCACGTACCTCGGTTGCAGTCTGTCCCCAGCCCCGGTTGGGGTCGTGTGGGGGACGACCACTCAATGTGTCTCTCTCACATTGATGTTTCTCTGTCTCCTCCCTCTCCCTCCAGCTCTATCGGAAGATAAATGCAAAAATGTCCTCGGGTGAGGATAAAACAAACCAGTATGCTTAACATGATTCTACACGTGACAGATTATTGTTCATATAAAAGTGTGTTTATGTAAATGTCTTGAAGAATATAGTTACCAAACAGCAAGTCTTTGAGGATTGTGGGTGGCGAGAGAGATGGAGGACAATCACTTTATTTATAGCCTCTGTACAGTTTTTTTGACAAATTATTTTTTTGCAATTTTTAAATAAAAACGATCCGTTAGCCTGTTCTGCAGTTTGATACTATCAATCAGTAGGCCGTTCGCTGCCTGCTTTGTAGGCTACTTCCTCGCTCAAATTCCCATCTCAAGGGCATCTTAACCCCAGGTGCCTGGAGTTTTGATGGTTTTAAGTTAATTTGACGGACATGCC